AAGGTTTTTGAGCTTGCACAAAAACCTCTCTGTGATCAAACAGTTTGCTAGTGATCTTATAAGGTCTTAAGCTGTCGCACGATCGTCGCTCGAAAGTGCGACAATCTTACGACAGTCTTTACAAATTGCCACTAGTCACTGATAATCTTGAGTAGTCTTTATTAATCATATCATGATCGTAAAACAAGTTGTAGGTTATCGCATGACAAGTCACGGGTAGTCGTAAGTAATCCCAGGCAATCTTGAGACCATCGTACGTTTACTGATGACCTGTCGTGCGATTGTCAATGATGATTAGTCGTACGATAATCGAAGAAGTAGATTTATTTGTTCAGAGATGGCTTGGTCGATGACAATCGCCGATGATCGTCGGTTTTACACGTCACCCGTAGTCGCATGTTATCGTAAGCTCTAGTGTGACTGGGGTTAAAAAAGTAACCTATATATAATATTAACCGAGTAGTTTAAAAGCATAGAATATTTGCAGTCTAAGTCCGAGTAAAAAGTCAAACCCTGTAACGTTTGCATAAATCTGTCATATCATTGTGATATAATTAAGAGTTATGCATGTTTGTCCATTATTATTTTTGCTTTTTTTGTCGTTTTTGTTTTTATTTATAAAAAATAACGTGAGTATAAACAGGTTAATCTGAGTAGAATAGTGGTAAAAAAGGTTTAGGTTATGCAAATTGTGCATAGTTTTTGGTATGATTTGTGTTATTTTCAGATTTATATGTTTTATTGTTTGGAACTTTTCTCTTTTATTTATTTGTTATTTATTTAGAGTAAATGTTTTGTACATTTCATGCAACATATTGAAAAAGTGTTATTAAATTATTCTATTTGAAAATCTGAATTTCATTCGCTAAAGTCTTAACAATTTCGAATAACTTGTTTGAATACATGTGTGTGTGTCCTTCGATTGCTAAAATATCACCCTTATCACGCCTTTGTTTTCTTTAACTTAGCCTGTAGAGTGCAAATGAGTGTAGAAATAAAATGTTCACAAATAGCATCGTTTTGAATAAATTCACGATGAACTAAAATCAAAAAATTAAATAAAAATGACTTTTCAGGATTTGAAGCAGGTTCTCTACACTCACTAAGCAACACTCTACTAGGCTGAACTGATAAGAATAAGTAATTGTTAAGGTGGTTAACGATACAGGTGATAAATTTTATGCTTTTATATAAGATTTATATATTGGGCATTAAAAACATTGACTGTCTTATAATTATAAACCGGAACGTTGTTGTGTCACTCTTTCCTTATACAATGTGCACTTATAAAGAAAGTATGTGGATGCATCCTCATATGAATTCAATTTAACAATATATGATGTCTATGTGTCTTTTTATGATGTCAACCTATCATTTTACGACGTGAATCATTAAGAGTCAACTAATCAATATATTATTTCCATTTTTCATTATACGATGTGAATCTATAGCATTGTATAGTTATACGATGTGCATTATGAATATATTATGTGGTAGCATCATTATATATGTCAACTTATCAATTAACGACGTCAATCGTTCATTATACGATGTGAATCTATTATTATACGATATGCCTGTAAGAAATAATATCGGTCTAAGCGGTGTTTATCGGCTATTTAACACCAGTTTGGAGTGTTGATGTGAAGGCATTGACCACGAAGGCCGTAGGCCTGAGTCGTAAATTGTTTTTTGCATCAAAACGACAAAACCTGTTTTAAATATGATATGATATTATTTCGATTTTAACAAGATAAAATAAAAGAAGATCACTTATATTATTTTTTTCAAGCGGAAATAACTTCTTGTGTCGATTTTCGTATAACGCATTTCGATTTCGCACCCTACTGTTGCTAAGATATAGAAATTATTATACAAATTAAATAATAAGAGAAATCAGTTACTTTTATCAAGTTTTCAACAATGAAAACTTACGTCTTAGAATGGATTGTGTTGTGTTTACATCCGTGCCCAAATTATCATTCTTGATTGTTTGAAATGACGTAAGCGTTTATGAGAAGTTGTATATTTAGGATGTCGTCATTACGCTGCTTCCGGATTGTCGCTGTTTTGCCAAAATATTTATTAACTGATATTGATCAAATCTGTGGCGTTAGTGTATGTGAGATATCATTTCAGTATTGTATGAAAAACAAACATTATAAGACCTGAAATATCAATAAAAATGTTTTCATTGTTGCATTAAAAGGCTTTGTTAATTATATAATAGAGGGAGAAAACATACCAGCCGCATATACAAGTAGACGGTAGACCCTCACCGTGTTTATTGGCAGTTTGACAACGTTTTTTTCCCTCTTTGTCGATATTGACAAAATCTCGAGGATTGTTAGAATTATAAAAAAAATCATGTCATAGCATCATTATATAGAAATCTGGAAACTTAGTGATCCCTTGGAAGCATTAATAACAACAAAATTTCATGAGAATTGCAGACTCGGTTTGATTGAATTTGTACATGAGGGATAATGAATAAGTGCAACATCCCTCACGCCCCCTAGAATCAACTTATCAATGTATTATGTCAGTCTTCCATTATACGATGTGTATCTATTATTATACGATGTGCATTTATGAATATATTATGTGATAGCATCATTATATAATGCCAACTCATCAATATGTTATGTCAGTCTTTCAGTATACGTTGTGAATCTATTATTATGCGATGAGCATTTATAAATAAATTATGTGTCAGCATCATTATATAATGCCAACTCATCAATATGTTATGTCAGTCTTTCAGTATACGTTGTGAATCTATTATTATGCGATGAGCATTTATAAATAAATTATGTGTCAGCATCATTATATAATGCCAACTCATCAATATGTTATGTCAGTCTTTCAGTATACGTTGTGAATCTATTATTATACGATGAGCATTTATAAATAAATTTTGTGTCAGCATCATTATATAATGCCAACTCATCAATATGTTTTGTCAGTCTTTCATTATACGATGTGAATCTATTATTAAACGATGTACATTTATGTATACATTATGTGATAGCATCATTATATAATGCCAACGCATCAATATGTTATGTCAGTCTTTCATTTTACGATGTGAAACTATTATTATACGACCGCAGCTTTCTATGAAGTGCAAACATCATAATATCGTGTGCTTCTGTCACTATACAGGGTACTGTCTATTTTTGAACGTAATAAAATCCCAAGACTTGAGAAATCACGGGCGGTTTTAAACTGCTAACGAATTGTTAAGTTGACTCTTTATAAAGCCGATTCCACATAACACAGTATTGTTTTGACTCTATATAAGAATGGTTCCACATAATATATTCGTAATTGCAAAATATAATGACTGACATCATTTAAGAGCATTAACATCATACACTGTTACCATGACTCTATATAAAGATGGTACTACATAACATATTCATCAATGCACATCGTATAATAAAAGATTGACCTCATATAAGGACACATTGGTATTATATATGGTTAAGTTGTCGCTATATAAAGGCGATCCTACAAATATATAGCATTATTTTGACGCTATATAAGAATGGTTCAACATAATATTCGTAATTGCACATCATATAATGAAAGGCTGACATCATATTAGGACAGATTGACATCACATACTGTTGTAATGACTCTATATAAAGATGATTTCACATAATATATTCATTAATGCACATCGTCTAATGAACTATTGCCATCATAATTAGTATGGCTCTTTTACACCATGTAATAAGTTGACTGTATTTAACTTGTTAAAGGATTGTTTCACATAAAATACTGAAAATTGCACATCGTATAGTGATAGATTGATATAATATAAGGGAACATTTACATCATATAATGTTACACATAATATATTCATTATTTCACATCTTATAATGACACACTTAAATCATATAAGGACAGATTGGCATAATATATTGTTATTTTGACCTTATATAAGGATTGGTCCACATAATTTATTCAAAAATGCACACCGTATAATGATATCATATAAAGACACAGTGACATCAAATATTGTTCAATTGACTATATATAAGGATGGTTCCTCATAATATATTCATGAGTGCACATTGTATAAAGTAAAGGTTGACTCGATATATTGCTATTTGGACATTACAACGTTCAGGTTTATAATTATATGACAGTCAAGGCTTTCCATAATTTAGTCCTAACGGTATTTAGGTTACTCCATTTAAGGGTGCGTCTGCATATTATCGGAATTTGAATAATGAATGTGTATCATCGTAGTGGTTCAGTTGCACTGCCACTTAAAAAATAGTTTGCAATCTTAGGCTCGAGTCTGTCATTTTATAGTAATGATGCTGTTATATAGTTTATTCTCCTTTTTATTTACTTTGTATTTTGTATGATTATTTAAATCAATATTGTTCTTCTAAATTTCTATTTCTTGTTTCGTTTTTATTTATCCCCACCTTTTTATGAAGAAAACAACTATAAGTCAAGTTATTACATTTTTTAAATTTTATTAATTAAATTTTTAAATATTCTAAATACATTACGATTACAAAATAGCAAAAATTTGAATACACTGTATATGGATCAATATATAACACACTTTCTTTAATTATGTATTATTTATATTGCTAATAATCCCTTTATTGTCTTTGACGTTTTCCCCTATCTTTAAACATGTGCATATCAATTCGTGTACAAACATATTCATGCATTTGAAACAATTTAAAACAAAACCGGGCAAATACACTCAAATTCAATTGTAACTAACCATACTATCAAAGCACATGAAATATGATGCTTACGTGTTTCATTTATTAGGGTTCAGACTGCTTTACCTATTTTTGCATTCTAATTTATCTCTGTTATGTAAACAAAGGCTTTAATTATCATCCTTGGGCAGTACCCCCTTTTCATATCAATAACATTATATTAACACAGACAAAGTTTATGATTTGTACAGAGATATATTAACATTTTTTGTGTTGTGTAGAAGGTAGGGGGGGGACTCCACTGAGGTTTATTTGACAAAACGTGATTGGAAATAATTTTTTGAGATTATTACTCCATTTGATGTAGATCTATTCTAATAAATTATGTGCAAAATTTGAGATCATTAGCTCACTCCGATTTTTCAGAATAATTATTATGATAATGAAAAATGACACAAAATTGAAAAGCGTTTAAACGCTTTTCACTCAAATCGGACTGAGAATAGCACAAACATATGATTTTCAATGCATTTTTTTGTGTATTTCTTAGTTATGTTTTATTCATAATTCTGTTTAAAGTGCTCATGTTTATCTATGTGAAAAATTAAAATGTTACGTTTTAGGCTTATGAACCTCAGTGGAGTTCCTTTAATACTTCGACATTTACGAAACAAGGACTTAACTATCGTAATTTGTAATCGAGCCAATACTCTTAACTTTCCTTTTTGCCTTGCACTTGGTATAACAATAAATATATCTTTATATTAAAAATAATATCACTGCTTTACATCGATTTATGACTTTTTAAAAAATTCGTGACACAGAGAAATTCATAATTAGCTGTTACTGATCTCTTGTTATACCATTTACTTTGTATTGATACGTAAGCGTGTAAATTATGAAGCCATTAGTAAAGGTAAACTTCAAATATCCAACTTGCCCGTTTAGGTTAACCATATCTTTTTCAGTTACATTGCCATATTATAAACATTTTGTATTATTCAGCATCAGATTATTAACAAAGTAGAAAAGATTCTTATGTCGCCTGCATGCCACCGTCGGATCACGATGAGAACAGGAATTTATGTCATGAACAATACATCTTCAATATAATATGTACAGTGATGTATAATGCAAAAACGTGATAAGGCATAAACTTATAAATACTAAAGTTACATTACACCCAACGTACATCGCACCAACATGGTAATACTTATGGCAACTTTTCAGCAGGACTGCTTGAAAAAACATCTGCATCATCACCAATACAGTCTGAACGAATTCAAGACGCTGCATATCCATATAGCTAATGTCATATTGTCCGCATAATTTACATTAATATGAATAGAAAATACAACAGAGAGGATAAACTCATTATTCTCTGATACTTGTATATACTTTACTTGTGAATGATGGCATGGTTAGTAAAATAATAAAATATTACATTTCTTGTTTCCGAAAATAATGTAAACAGTCTCCGGAATAAGTTTACAAATCCTGAATTTTCGCAAACTCAACTATCCTTCTGAATACAGTTTCAATACAAAAAGTTAAATCAAAGAGTAACTTGGATGGAAGTAGACGATAATTGGCCGTTTATATAAAGATAACAACAATTAAGCGCTGTGCAAGCAGTCAAAGGTTGGCACCCCATGTGATTTGTTTAATTCTCACATTGGGTTTTACGTGTCCCATGGGAGATCTACCAATTTTCATAAAATGGCAGAAAAAATACGTGGCAGAAAAAAACAAGAGCCCCGTTTGAGCCGGGTGATGCTCCCCGAATAGGTTTTGGACACAGGAAAGTACACCTCTTGTAGTTTCAGAGTTATGTCCGTAGAAAAAGTTCAAAGTGCAATAATCCCAAAATTAGGCAAGGAAGAGTTACTGTTCTGTTAGCACTGCACTTGTAATCAATGTGATATATCAACCTACAAAGTTATTTGTTGATATCTCTTTTGGTTTCTGAGTTATGTCCAGGACAACTTCAAAAAGTAAAAATAAACAAAGGGCAATAACTCCAGAATCAGGCAATGCAGAGTTATGATTCTTGTGCACGTACATCTACCCATTGAGATATATCTACCTACAAAGGTTCATGTTGATATCTCTTATAGTTTACAGCTATCTCCTGGACAAGTTTTTTCTAAAAGGGGAAATAATTCAAAAATGAGGCTTAACAGAGTTATGGTTCTTTTGCACTGCACTTCTACTTAATGTACCTTAATCTACCTACAATGTTTCATTTTGCTATCTCTAATAGTTTTAGAATAATGTTCCGGACAAAGTTCAAAGTGTTAAATTAACAAAGGGCAATTACTCCAAAATTAGAAAAAAAGAGTTATTGTTCTTATGCACTGCACATTTACCCATTGAGATATATTCACCTACAAAGTTTCATGTTGATATCTCTTATAGTTTAAGAGTATGTCCCGGACAAGATTTTTCTATAAGGGGAGATAATTTAAAAATGAGGCTTAACAGAGAGATGGTTCTTTTGCACTGCACTTCTACACAATGAGATCTATCTACCTACAATGTTTCATCTTGATATCTCTTACAGTTTTAGCTTAATGTTTCGGACAAAGTTCAAAGTGTTAAAATTAACAAAGGGCAAAAACTCCAAAATTAGGACAAAAGGAGTTATTGTTTTTATGCACTGCACATCTACCCATTGAGATCTATTCACCTACAAAGTTTCATGTTGATATCTATTATAGTTTTAGAGTTATGTCCCGGACAGGATTTTTCTATCAGGGGAGATAATTCAAAAACCGGGCAAAATAGAGTTATGGTTTTTAACACTGCACTCCCCCTCAATGCCCTCTACCACTGTATGAAGTTTAAACAAATTATCTCCAAGGGTTTTCAAGTTATGCTCCGGACAAGACAACAGACGGACAGACGGACGTATGGACAGACAGACAAGGCGCCGACTATATGCTCCCCTGAAATTTTTCGGGGAGCATAAAAACATGTCTAAATATTTTCACATGTTTTGATTATTGTATATGATTAAAATGAACTTATAAGTTATAAATATACATATCTAAAGACATTTGCAATCCCCCCTTGGCGGATCTAACCAATTAAGGAAAGTGAAGAAATCTCCCAAAATTAGAATGGGAGATAATAGCCCATTACAGTATAAATGGAAAAATACTCCATTACAGCGTAACGAGAGGATAACATAATGGGAGAATTTATCCATATTTTTGTTTAACAAATCTGACAAGAAGTTTAAAGTTAAAAAATTTGTATCACTTGATATTCGGTCTTGGACTTTTTAAAATGAAAATAGTGCGAATATTTATTTATTTATCTATTGCGTTACTGCGATACGTAATTGTTTATTTTAACTGCACACAAAGGTTCACATTCACAGAGAAAATCACGCGAGTGCCATCGTTGTTTTACATTTGTAATTTGCGTGATGAAGGAAACTAAGTAAATTTACATTTTTAAAAATCTCAACCGTACAACAAAAATCTGTACAAGATATTCTGTACCGATCAATCGAACAAAACTTCTATACAAAAGCACATTTCATGATATAAAAATCATGTTACATCTATTCTAGGACAAAAATGTTTTTGGTTCCTTATCTCATGTAAATATAAAAAATATAAATTTGTTTGGTCCAACGAACAAAAAAAAAATGATAAAAAATTTTGTTTAAGAATTCCTGTATAAGATATTTTTGTGAAAATATAAAAAAATACATTTATTCTTTTCACCAAACAAAAAATCATCAAAATCCTGTGTAATATATATTTTCACATTCATGCCAGTTTCATTCTTCCAATTTTGCTAATTCTTTTAGCATCATTGTAAAAATATTGTTAATTATCATGCTTGTCAAATAATTTGTTTTTATACCCATTTAGTATTCTCACCAATTTCATGCATTTCCCTGGAATAAAAAAATACAATATTTTGATATGAATGGTTAGAATTGTGAAAAATTATTTCATCAACAGTTCTTTAAATGTAGGGTTTGACTCAATTGTGCATTACTATATTTTGTTTACTTATTTAACAAATGATATCAACGAATCACTTTTTTATTTTGACTGACATTGACAAAAACGCTAACATGTTGAATTTTTTTTAACGAACAGAAAATCATATTTTCTTGTAATATAGCGAACAAAATTAACAGTCATATATATATATTATAATGTTTCATCTTTTCTCATGATCAGTATGTTTGAACGACTCTTCAGTTACTTTAGAAAAGTACCTTTGTTTTGATACTTACTCTTCATTACGGCTAGGCGCCTGTTTACTTCTACCAAGTAATTTATTTTTGATCGTATGTAGGAACTGATTTTTCTTTTGAAAAATACAATATAAATACGAAATAAATAAAAAATAATAATTTTTAAACCACAGATTTATCGTACTTTGAAATGATTATGTATGCGTAAAATAATTTGACTAGACAAGTATAATATTAAAACTGTTGTTAACCAACTACTTCGTAAAAGTTAGATTAAAATGCGAATGGTATAACGATTAATAATTATATAATTTATTATATAAACAGAATGCTACTAAAATGAATTTTCTATTTCATCTGTTTTCGGGACAAATCTCTTATCTTAAACCAAATTTAATATTATAATACTTACATTCTTTCCGACGACATTCGTTGCTAAAAAGAAAAGAATCAACAAGCGCTATTAATTAAAACTCTTAAATCATTATAATTCTACATTCAATAAAGTCATAAATGCATTAGTTTTTTGTCATTCAATAATAAACAAAAACGAACCAAATAATGCTCCCTGAATAGGTTTTGGACACAGAAAAGTATATCTCTTGTATTTTTACAGTTATGTCCTGGACAAAGTTCGAAGTGCAATAATTCAAAATTTAGGCAAGACAAATTTACTATTCTTTGCACTGGTCAATGATATATATCTACCTATACACAGTTTCTTGTTCATATCTCTTATCGTGTAATGTTCTGGACAAAGTTCAAAATGTTAATATGAACAAAGGACCATAACTAAAAAATTAGGCAAGAATGAGTTACGGTTCTTGTGCACTGCAAATTTACTCAATGAGATCTATCTGCCTACAAAGTGTTTTGTTCATATCTATTATATCTTCCGAACTATGTCCTGGACAATGTTCAGAGTGTAAAAATGGACAAGGAGCAATTATTAGGCAAGGCATAGTTAGATTTAATTTACACTGCACTTCAATGTGACCTATCTACCTACAAAGTTTCATGTTGATATCTCTTTAAATTTTAGAGTTCTGTCCCGACAAAGTTCAAAGTATAAAACTGAACATAGGGCAATTACTCCAAAATTAGGCAAGGCAGAGTAACAGTTTTTAAACACTTCACATCTACCCAATGAGATCTATCCACCTACAAAGTTTCATGTTGTTATCTCTTAAAATTTCTGAATAGTCATTAATCGAACAGAACATGTAAATTATATTTTGAATCTTAAATCTTTTAACTTTTTCAAAAATATTAGTACATTCTTCTCAACTTTGATTAAATTGACATATCTTACAAGAAACTTTGAAGGTAAATAGTTCTTATTGGATAAAAGTGCAGTGCAAACGAACCATAACTCTGCCTTCCCTAATCTTGGATTTAAATATTGCCCTTTGTTGGTTTTTACATACATGTATATTTTACACTTTAAACATTTTCCGGGACATTGCTCTAAAACAGCAAGAAACTTTTGTAGCTAGATAGATCTCATTGAGCAGAAGTCAGTGCAAAAGAACAGTAACTCTGCCTTGCCTAATTTTGGAGTTATTGTCCTTTGTTTTTTTTACATAACATAACGTTTAAACAACAAGGGGTATTAACAACAAGGGGTATTAAGAAGAAAAGTTGTAGGTAGATAAATTCCATAAAGTGGGAGTGCGTAATGCAAAAAAAAACACAAAAAAAACAACAACATAACTCTGTGTTTCATTATTTGGATGAATGCCGTTTGTTCATTTTTACAATTTGAAATTTGTCTGGGACATAACTTGACAACTATAAAAGGTATCAACTAAAAACTGTGTAGGTAGATAGTTCTTAATAAGAAAAAGTGAAGTGCAGAAGAACAATTACAATGGCTACCCTAATTTTGTAGTTATTGCCCTTTGTTCATTTTTACACTTTATACATTGCCCATGACATAACTTGAGAACAATGAAAGGTATAAAGATGAACCTATATAGGAAGAGAGATCTCACTCAGTAGTGCAGAAAGCTTAGGGAAAAGAACGTATTGTCCTTAAAAGAAGTCATTAAACACCTTAAATCCAAACTTAAATTTATCTTTTTGATTAATGTAGGACAAATAATTCAAAAACAGTTGAAAAAAAACTATAAATTATTGCATTCTCCCAGTGTGCACAATTATTAACTAACAAACACGTTTTCTGACAAGCGTGTCGGGAGTTATTCTGTAATTAGGATTTTAGGACTGGCGGCAAGCTTGTTTAAGAGACCAGAACCAACCACCTGAGCATTTGTATAGGCAACTTTTCTAGAGTCATTCTTGTAGAGTTAAATTAAAATTTATAAAAAAAATAAATAAAAGGACAATAAATTAAAAATTGAGTAGATCTCCCTGTATAAATATTTATTTAGCTTCGGTGGCCATCATGCAGGACCGGAACAAATTTAACCATTTAGTTAAAGACTGCCCAATATTCTTTTCTGTAGAGTTTCATAAAAATCTTTTGGGTGGTTCAGGACAAGATGTTATTTAACAGTTCTTTCTTTTTTAAGCATTTGCGTCCGTCTTGTTTAAGAAAACGGAACTATTTTTAGCTCATCTAAGGGTCATTCCTTTACAGTTACATCAGAATCTACACAGTAGTTAAGGAGGAGATATGTGAAGTTTCTTTTCTATTTTGGCCATTTTAAGGGGACCATCTCAGGATAATTATTGTATTTGAGTTTTATTTCTTTTGGTCCAGGTGTATAAAGAGAGATAAAGTGAAAATGTTAACGACAAAGGTGAATTACAATAGCCAAACCTGAGCATGTGTAACCAAAAACATGAAGGTGATTTTGTTCTTCAAATTGGCAAGCAAAATGTTAACGCAGAAAACAGATACGTCATCGGAGTGCTTAGGACTTTTGTGAAGTGTATATATGTTTTGATGATGAACAAATGATATTTAAAATGTTTATGAAAATGTTTTGTTACTAACCGGATAAGTTTTACGTTGATTTCTATTGGTTCACAAATGGAGATATATACATGTGTATATGTTTCGATCAAACAGACTCATTAAAATCCGTTGTTGTTTTTTGGAATGACTTGTTAAAGAGACGAACGGTGCAGACGTATTGTTCAGAATTACAATTCTAATTACAATTGGTTCTGGTACGTCAAATTGAAATATCATTATAAAGGCGACTATAAATATGTTATATAAATATGAAGAATTGAAGAATAGCCTTGAAATGCAATTTGTACAAAAAAAGATTTTCAAGGAAATATATTAAGGTGTAACTGGTTTTTTGACATGAAAATTTGTGTTTCATTACTATTGTTAACAGAACTGTGGTCATCATGTACGTTGTTGATGTTTTTCGGACAAAAAGTGATACATGGCCCGCTTTTGTCTTTCTTTCTTCCCATAATCAAATATACGATCGCGCCTGATGTTAATCCTAATATGGCACTTCCACCTAAAAGTCCACCAATTATAGCAGCCACATTTCTGTGAAAGAACAACGAATGAATTAAGTAGAAAAAATGCTGATAATGTTTTCTGTTTACATGAAAGCAGAACTTAGTATGAGTAATAAGAATAATAGTAAGGACTCAGTTTCCGTGTGTACTATTGTAGAAGTACAACTCATACTTTGGACGAAAATATGGTTTGGCATGATTTAAAGATCATGGCCGAAAGGTCATTATTATTCTATGTCTTTGATACATGTTTCATTTATTTCTGGCACTTGGAATGATCAGCTTGTTCATGAGAGAAACTGTATAATGCAACGCACATAACGTCTTCATTAGCAGTGAAAAACGTGATGCAAGAAATCATCTAAATAGATTATAAACACTTAATGCAAGTTGTCTTGATACCAGTTGCAATACAGAAATTTACAAATTATTTTGTGAGACAAACTTACGAGGATGATTCCTTCGTCTCTGAAATAGATAAGAAATTGTTGTTCATATACATGTATTTTGTATTTTATCTGAAATGTCATTAAATTATTGTAGGAAGTAACTTCTATTCATAATTAACTTCAAAGATTGCGGCAATTTTACTTTAATTAGCATTAAATTTAAATAAAGTTGATATTATATTGATTTAAATAAATAGAGGATATTCAAGTTTTTTCTATAAAACATGATTTATTTACATCGAGTCTTCAGAGAAGATGATTTTTTAAGTTTTTACTATATACATATAAGGGAAACCTATGGCCCCGGGGTGGGGCTAATTTTGACATTAGAGGCAAAATTTGAACAACTTTGGTAGAGTACCTATAGATAATATTATTTAAATATTAAAGCTCTAAGCCTTGTACCGTCAGACAATAAGATTTTTTGATGTTTTACTATATGTATATATTGAAATCAATGACCCCCAGGGCGGAGGCAGTTTTGACCCTAGGGCTATAATTTGAACAATCTTGTTAGAGGTTTGCTACACAATGTTTCATGAAAAATATCTAACCTCTAGCATTTGTCAATTGCTAGAAGAATTTCTTTTAAAGATTTTACTGTAAGTTTTTACTATATACATATAAGGAAAACCAATGACCCCCGGGGCGGGGCCGATTTTGACCCCAGGGCTATCATTTGAACAATCTTGGTAGAGGTCTACCAGACAATGCCATATACAAAATATCTAAGCTCTAGGCCTTTTGGGTCTTTAACAAGAAGGTATTTTAAGTTTTTACTATATGTACATAAAGTGAAAATCAATGACCCCCGGGGCGGGGCCGATTTTCACCCCAGGGCTATAATTTTAACAATCTTGGTAAGGGTCTAACAGGTAATGCCTTATGCAAAATATCTAAGCTCTAGGCCTTTTGGGTCTTTACAAGAAGGTATTTTAAGTTTTTACTATATGTACATATAGTGAAAATCAATGACCCCCGGGGCGGGGCCAATTTTGACCCCAGGGCTATAATTTGAACAATCTTGTTAGAGGTCTACCAGACGATGCCTTATGCAAAATATCTTAGCTCTAGGCCTTTTGGGTCTTTACAAGAAGATTTTTTTAATTTATTCTTATAATTCCTTTTGGTTGCCATGGCAACCAGATTTCTGCATGGAATGGAATTATTTGAACAACTTTGGAAGCCCTTTACCCAAGGATCAATCCTGCCAAGTTTAGTTGAAATTGGACTAGTGGTTTTTCACAAGAAGATTTTTTAAGTTCACTATATAATCTATATAACACACACACAAACACACACACGCACACACACACACGCACGCACGCACCAACACACACACATACACACACACATGTGAATCGCTATATGCCACCGCATCTATGCCACCGCATCGCAGATGCTGCGGTGGCATAAAAAATAATTAAGAGAGTGCATCTATAAATTCGTTAACTAATTCAATAGCGGGGAAATGATTTAATTCAATATCCTTAAATGATTACTCCTTCTCAAACTAACGTCCTATGCACGATTTGTCCAATTTCTCGACCCATGAATCGAACACGTGTTATAGCGCGTCACGTGACTTCTCCCGCAGCCGTTGTCTGTCCACGGCACACCTCTTTCTCTCTTGATTCAAATTTTGTACTACGAAGAAGACTGTTTTTTTTAAATTGGAAACAGCCAGAAGACACAAATTGCTAGGTCCGGGCTGAAGGGTAGGTGCAGTAAAAGTTCGACGTCGAGTTTTTCTAGTGTATCAATGACAACGTGGCTTGAATGGCTCGGCGCGTTGTCGTGATGTTATGTGAATCCGGACTTAAGTAGATCTGGGCGCTTTTCCCTATTGCCACGAATGAGTCCCGTTCTAAGTAATGTTGCATTATAGTTCCGAGTGACTGTCGTTGTCGAAGGAACAAAGTGGTTAAGCACTACACCGTATGTATCACAGAATATTTTGGCCTTAACCTTCACGGCTGACTTTGGAATTATCGCTTTTGTAGGGGAAGGCAAAGAAGGATGCTTCCAGACTCTTGACGTTTGCTTTCCGGTTCAACAAAGTGAATCCACTTTTCATCACATGTTATCACTTGATTTAGAAAGTTATCGCCTTCTTCACGATACATTGTGTCGTACATTTACTCGTCTCTCTAGGAGTATTTTACTCTTGAATGGCAACCACTGTTTCTTCACCTGTGACAGTCACTAGTCTACCGGAACGACTGTCGTCTTCAGTTGCCTCTCAAACGTCTTTGAACCGCTTCATCCACTTCGAAATGGTGTCTTTTGATAAAGTAGCCTATCCGTAAACTTTTTTTGCAAATTTTCACGGACTTTTATGTAAACCTTTATAACGATGCGCTGTTCGTTGACGCTGTGTGACGCCATTTTCGAACAGATGCCCCGTAACGTGACGTCATTAACGGTTTATGACGTCATAAGTGATGACGTTAAAGTTGTGTCATAGTACGATTCAATTTTAAATAATCTTTTCACAGCATTTGAAGTTTAATTTTAAACGGACCATTAGTTTTGACGCTATCGAATTAGTTTACAAATTTAAAGATGCACCCTCGTATGTTGACTTTATTTCGATAAAATAATGAAAGTAAGTTGATTTAGATTGCATAACAAACATGCGTTTTATGCTTAGTAAGTTTAATGACAACGTGCATAAAGTAAGACGTAGAAAAAATTACAATCTGTGAACAGAATTAGGTAGCAGAACTTGATACCTATTACATTTTTATGTTTAGGTTTACGGAAAATATAATTTTCTGTTATTTTTGCTATAATACAGGCTTGTTGATAAGTACAAAAACACAGACCTAGAACATGAAACATACATGTATATGTTTTATTTCTATAAGAAATATTTTTACTTTCAAGTTTTGGATAAGATATAAAAGTACCGTGATTCACCCTACAAACACAATTTGTTACCACTTAAATTTATTTGATTATCATTCAAACAATATATCATTATACATGTATTAACTTTTATTTAAATATTTGTACCTAAAAGACAGCTAGGGGTTCTTCCATCCCATTCTCCGTTACTTGCACAAACTCTATGTGACTGTCCATTCAAAACATAGCCTGAGCTACATAAATAAACTGCCAAAGTGGGATCGCCCTTACTTATTATAACAAACCCGTTTTCTGGAAAATCGGGTGTTTCACATGCTGCAATTGAGATATGATACACGTAGGATCATGCAAACAAAAAAGAGAAAAACATTATCCTTTAAGAACGTAAAAAAACACGACAAAATCGAAAATGTTGCACACTCAGTTTAATTGAGACTCTTCATGGACGGCACTGGAAAGTGTAAGCTGCAGCCCACTGCCCTAGCATCGGTCTAAGCAGAATTCAAAATTCAAACAGTGGCGTATGGTCCCAAAGTAAAACATTGGTGTGCCCTAGACGAGAAAAGAGGGGGGGGTCGCTAAATTTAATGTCATTTTGAAAAGTAAACCAATGTTATGAAGCCTGTATATGTGTATATGACAGACAAAAAAACGTCAGAAACAAACCATAAAACAGGCAACATATCATAATGGTGATATTACAGTGTTTAGGTCGGAATTCTGGAACCAGTCACTTAGAAAAGAGTGTAATTTGATAAAAGAGTTTGCAATCATGCATTAATGATGAAACAATCAGTTTATGCGATTTGCGACAAAGATTAATAAAAGGCCTACTTACACTTATTGTTCAATGCTGCGATACTGCAAACTACAAAAAATAAACAAATGCATACGTACTTTAAAAGACCTTTTAAAAGTATAAACTGTTTTCAAATTAGCTGTCTATACAATTTTGAGTGGTGGATAAAAGAAATATTATCTTAAATCATAATCGTTAATCGCATATTAACTTGTAAAAACAAGTAGCGGCTCATAAGATAATAACGCTAATACTACAGGGGCATTTTTAATAAGTGGCAACGGGAGTGCATTTCTGTCATACCTGTTAAAAATGATAAGTAGAGTTTCTCGAAATATTCATCATAGACCTCTACACAATTTTCCAACCTCAAAATCCATTCCGAAACAAAAGCATTTTTGAACTGTTCTTTGGGTAAACTGTTTAAACTGGTAGAAGGCGCTTCTAACGGCACTACGGGTTTCGAATCATCGACTGCGAAGGCAAAATTTGATGTATGGATTTAACTAAAAGTCAAAAGGAGAGAGGTCAAGATTATAAGCGTGATGTAGCACAACCTCAATGTTCTGTTCCTCTAAATAAGTTTGAACAAAGGCTGACCGGTGCGAAGGTATTTTATCATGGAGGGGTTTGATCCTGCGCACCCGGACCCTGAGTTTCTTTGTAATGTAGTGATTATCTACAGCAGTGAGAACATGGTCAGTGTAAAATGTTTCATAACACTATCCCTCTCAGGCACAGCAACATGGGCTATTATTCCATTACTTTCAACAAATAAAGCGTACTTAACTCTTTTAAAGCCCTTGCTACGTCGAGCAACAACTGGGCGATCGCTGTTTTCACCTATCCACGTTTTGTTACTGAGTTTATTGTCGGGCTAAAAAATAAATAAAAAAGCCACGTTTCACCCCCTGTGAATTTTTTTCTCAGGGACTAAGGTCCCGATCTTTCAATCCAGCCAAAAAGGCCGAGGAACCCGCCCCCTTTTCTGGTCAGAAGTAAGTAAATGCAAGATTCTACGGGCGCATACTTTCCTTAACTTTAACTTTTCTTTAAAGATAGAAAACACATATTACGCACTAAGGCCCGACATGGCACTTAACTCCTCCACGATAAATTTTGCATCTTTGTTATCTATGACTTTGGCATTGCTAATGTTATTTTAAGAGGTAGCGGAAATTGGAGGGGTTCTATCTTTCTTAAACATTGACGCCCACCTGGCAATTGTACGATATGGAAGGGCATTTTCTCCATAAACTAAATCAAGATCCGTTTTAATTTCTAACGCGCATTTAACAAATAACCCGGCACGAATTTTGTAATAACCTATTTGCTCCTCTCTCAAATCAAAATGTAACTTAGCCATATTTACAACCAGTATACAAAACTACATGCATTAAAATGACCTACTTAAATTTCTTTTTGTGCATGCAAATCGTGCGAAAATAAGACTCTTGGTTAGAAAAATAAAAAATATAAAAACTTTCCAATGGTATATTATACATGTATCATGGTTAATTTGAGTTGTTGCCACTTCTTAAAATATGCCCCTTGGCCTTAGTTAACTAAGGAAATGGTACTGCTTAATTTTTAAGTTAGTTTTCTATAAGTTTGACTACTACTGTATAAGTGGTTTTTTCTGTGGGCTCCAAATTCTGCGGTTTTTCCAAAATTTGGCATGTTTTTATTTCTGCGGACTTTATTTCTGCGGCACATTCTTTTAACAAAACGTGTTTAAAATTCTGCGGCTGATCTTATCACGGTCTAAGTCTCATTACTCTTCCTATTTCATTTGCATGTACAAATTCGCATTAATCGTCATCACAAAAAAAAAACAACAACAAAAAAACAACAAAACATTACAGCAATTACAAATTTATGATTTAGTGGTAAACAAACATTTCGGCGTCCTGGCAAACACCTTATTCATGTACATGTATTATGTTTAAAAAAATGTATTCACAAATTGGCATAATTAACAATAAGTACATCATTAAAAACACAGATACAAACTTAGCTGACGGGCAAGTTTATAAAAATCAATGACCCGCCGACCGTTATGATCCGTTAGTCGCTATTACTTTTGGACGAAACAGGTCATAATCTAGGACACATATCGTAACAGGTTAAAAAATAAAACTTGGAGAAATATTCTGCGGTTTTTATTTCTGCGGTGCTGAAATTGACCGCAAAATACGCAGAAATAAAGTCACCGCAGAAATAACCACTTATACGGTAATTAGGAGCATATTCAGCCTAATTAAGAAACGTTTTTTGAATTTTATCTTGTTATCAGGAGTAGGATTTTAGTAACCAACCATTAGGGGTAGAAAGCATAGTTAGGAGAAATGAAATCCTTAATAGGAATCTGAAAATCCTAAAAATCAGTTATAAAAACCCATTAAAAATTAAAATCCTAACTACAAAATGTACTTATATGCCTTATGTTGGGGTTGCGTTCATTGAACGCCGCCTTTTCTTGTTGATCTTGTTTATCATATTTTATCAAGTTTTTTAAATCTAGTATCATAGTTCTAATACATATTTTTTCATATCTAAGCTTTCAAACACCTTAACATGAGATATAAAGTCCTTTAAGTATTTCGTTTCAATCTCATAATAAGACATATTGAAGTCTTAGTTTGAATTGTATTTCTCCTTATTAGGCTTTATAAACTCCTAATGAGATGAAACCAAGTCATATTAAGGCTTTTTGTTATAAAATTCAATTCTTTTTTTGGATTTTATTACACAAAATAAGGAGAAACAAAAGCTTGAAAAGCTTTTATTACAATGTATTTATTACAAGGAATTACAAAATCCGCATTAGGATTCTATCTCTTCTAAACATATTTTGGCTTCTCGGTTACTAGATTACAAAGTTCTGATAAGGCATTTATACTTACTTAAATTACTTGCCATTATATATGTCTACGTCCCCGCGAGGTGTTTGCCATTAATGGAAGATAGATAGATTAAATGAAAAATACATATTGTTTCACTTATTTTGAAAATTTCTATAAAACCTTTTGTTTTCAAATAATGTAATATTCAGAATCGTGGGGAGTTGGTATTATCACACCAGGATAAAAAAGTGATGGAAATATAGCAAGTAACTTCAGGCGTATCGGTTAATCAATATCAAAGCTAAAGTATATTTACACACTTCTATTGATAGATTAATGTGATGGCCAACAGAACATGATAAACGTGCTCATAAAATGCAGTTGATTATGACAAACGTTCTCAGTAAGAAAGAAAAATGTTGACTGTGTATTTATCGAATTCAAGCAGTTTTTATACCTGATTAATCACAAAAACGTATCAATGAAAATTTCAGTACTCGGCTTATATACAAGTCAGACTTGTCCTCCTTCTTTGAAGTGTTCCAAAAAATCAGGCAGGATGATTCAATTACTTTATACTTGTTACTTGTTATGTTATTTCTAAATGATAGTGTGAAAGTCATTACATCTGGTTTGCCAGGTTCAATAACCTTAAATATTATTACATTATTTTCATTTATACAGACGACATGGTTTTGTTCTAAAAAGCCCGATTCTTTAAGAACCATGTTAAAGGAAGTAAAAAACCTATCCTAACACATGGACTTTAAATAAGCCATTCAGATTTCCGAATCTGGTAGGTCATGTAAATATTAGTTTCGAAATTTACGGTACTCTATTAATAGAGGCTGGCGAGTAGTCTAAATACTTGGGTTTCAACCTGTTCAAAAATGACAACTTTCATCGTTCTCAAAACATTTCCCCAGGTTTGCTCTTAACACATTATTTCAAGTATTAAATATGGTATTGAATTGCAATTTATATATATATTGGCTTTGTACTCTCAGAAATCTGAGGCTTTCAACCAGCCACAATTTGAAATGGTTTACACAAAAATAAAATTCTACGTAATGTTCTTGAAGTTAGAAAGTCAGCGCTTTACGGAGAATCGGGTGGTGGCGTCTCTATGGTTATTCAAAGAAAAAAATATATTCGATGAAAACAATATCTCTTGTATTAATGGTATAGCGGAAATATGACAGACTGGCTTCAGTGTTCTTACAGACTTCTCAGATACTGCAACACACTCATTTTCATGGACCAAAACAGGTTTATTACTGTACTGTACTGTACTGTACTGTACTACCCTGGTGTACGCACCTTAGAAACGATCACTGTGCTCCAAATCAAATTTATAATAACTTATAAATTACCTTAGCAATGGAAGTTTTATTCATTAATCCATCTTTTACATTTTTTATGAGCTTTAAACTATTGTTAATACAAAAACAATCAAAATATGTCAAGGGATGATTTCTAATATGGCGGATATGAGAGTACAAAGAAGCGACGCGTTTGACTGTTTTCTATATTTAATCTTACCAAACTAAAATACACTTCCTTTTCACTGCGAGAGTACAGCAATTCTTTAAGCAGCACGAACTACTTTTAAAAATAATCATTTCACAAAAGCACAAAAATAAAATAAAATAAAACCTGACTGTAATTACAAGATTTGCAGTCTTTCAAAGTCTTACATTCAAACATGCTTATCATTATTAAAAAAAATTATAAACAACAACAATTACATACATTTACTATTTTTATTCCTCTTGACAACATATATGGTCACCTCTTCTAACAACAGCTATTTGTGCAATATTTCAAGTATGTCCAGTGTCTATCATCATCATTAACATTTGTAAAAACTTCAGGCTGCTTTCTGACAGAGGTACTCGGGACAGGGTCAGGTTTTATTGGTTACCTTTTTTGATGTTTTTTCCCTTGACCTGTATTAGATGGTTTCCGAGCAGCTTCATGTTTTTTTTAATAGCTTCAAAAAATCATCCTCTGTAATTGCCCTACAACCCACAATTGTACTTAAATATTTTCTTTTCTTAGATGGTGGCTTCTTACATGTCAGAGAGGTTTCTTTATTCTTGAAAAAAGAAGCAGAAGAGACAGTTTTAGATGTAACAGTGTCCGGTTCATTGTTTGACTGGGTAGAAGGTTCGAATCCCGGCATGTTAGATAGTTCAAGTTCTGGCTTGCTGTATGGTTATGATGATACATTTCCTGTTGTAAAGCAGAGGAAGGGAGAAAGTGTGAAGGATTTACAGCAGTTTGGTTCAGACAAAGCATTCCCGACTTTCTGAAGGCAGACTGCAAGTTTTCGGGTAACAGTGTCTTTAAATAGGCACTGCACGCCAACTGACATATTTCGAAAGCAGTGAAAGGGAGTAAGTGTGACGGAATTTCAGCATTTGGGTTCAGTGGAAGCATTCCCGACTTTCTGAAGGCAGGCTGCAAATTTCCGGGTAACAATGCCTATTTAAACTGACATATTTAAAAGTTTGAGATTAATCCTCAACTTGTCTCCCTCATAAATTTATGTCCGCATCTATTAATTTTTTTAAAGGTCCGAAACAACTTACATCCATAGGCAGAAGTATGAGCAGGAAGACAAAATAAAATAATGTTTTCTTATCTTGACCACTATTCAGATTAATGAGAAATTTATGCCCATCATAAATAAAAGAACTGTGCAAGATTCAGATCAATTTGGAAAGTACTTTATCAGATGTGATTGAATACAGTGCTTAACGATTTCACTATTTCTCCAACCAGTCTCTGATACAGTACCATCAGCCCTAGGAGTACTACCGTTCAACAATGCGGAATTCATGCAACCACCAGGAAATGCAAAGTATCGAGGTATTGGTTGACCTTGAACATTACCGCAACCTTACACGGTTACATTATCCCTACTGGATGACACTTCAGCTTGGGATTTTACTTGTTCAGAGACAACAGGTGGAGGCTTATGTCTAGTACTTAAGCCTTTTTTGTCAACATTATAAAGAATCATTGGACGATCATAAGGTTATATGTTAGAAGAAACATTGGACGATCACAAGGTTATATGTTAGAAGAATCATTGGACGATCACAAGGTTATATGTTAGAAGAATATATGAAAGTTCTTTATAATACTTCTCTACACATTCCTTTGAAATTGCCTTGGCACATTTAAGTTCAATGCCTCTTGGATCTGCTCCGGCCAACGCGACTTGAAAAGAACAAACCAAACCAGCCAACAGATAAAGTTTCCCCCTGATTGTTTATGACCCAATGCAACAACATTCTCTGTGGCAATATCAATAACTTCCTTCCTGGAAATAAATAATTGTTTTTGTATAATTGTCATCAATAAATAATTTTTAAAAATATTGATTATAAATTAAATTTATGATTAAATATTTAAACACATAAATTAAATAACATAAGATAACGTCAAAATACCCACCTGCTGTATCCTTTTCCCACAGAAGCAGTGAACGTAAGTATTCAACTAGAAAGGCTTCCTCTTCATGGGTAAATAAATGTGGTGGTCCCGAACAAACAACCTAGCCTCTGGCACACTATATTGACTAGCAGTAGTTCTAATTAGGGCCCTTGTCTCCCTGCATTTTTAATAACCTGAGAACATTAAAGTTTGAGAGTTATTCCTGACCTTAACTTTAGGTGTCTGTAAAAATGAAATGAATAATAAAAAAGGGTTAACAAAATACTAACTTTAATATATTGGTATTCTATAAAAATAAGAGTACATCTTCCTATACAGTGAATTATATATTTTGTGGTCACATTACATGCGGAGTGAGGTGTCGGCTGGTCTGACTGTCATTTTTATAAATTTTCTGAAAAATTCATTTTCAAAGTTATACAGAAATATTTATAAGAAAAAACAACATTTATACGTTAAAAAGTATGAAAAGAGTACCTCAAAATTCCTGACTCTCCAAATTTTTGCTGCGAGAAATAACCGTAATGTTTACTAACAGATGTGCGTGAGAGTGACGTCATACGGAAACCAGAAATCGAAATCGAGGTCAAAACATAAACGGCGGCGTGATTAAGATGCGTCGAAATAAAGTACAGGAGAATACAACACTATACTTCCCAATGCTATGCTATGGTATGCTACGCTACGCTTGACTACACGGCAAGGCACGGCACGACAGGACACTATACTTTGCTACACTATACTCTATTATACGATACGAAACTTATACCGATACCGATAACTAAACCTATAATTACACTGTACTGAAACACTACAATACAATATCCTATCCTATTCTGTCCTATTCTATGCTATGCTATGCTATGCTATGCTACGCTACGCTACGCTACGCTACGCTACGCTACGCTAAGCTATGCTATCCTATCCTATTCTATCCTTTACTATCCTATCCTATACTATTCTATATACATGTACTCACCTATCTGACCGAACGACCGGCCGGCGGCCTGCCTGCCTGCCTGCCTTCCTGTCTGCCTTCCTGCCTACCCACCTACGTACCTACATACCTACCTACTTACCCACCTACTTACTTAGAATTTTGAATATTTTATCATCTAATTAGCGAAATTAAACTTTTGTTTAAAAGAAAAATATTTATTTCAAGCTTTAGAGCTACGTTGTTGTTTTTTTTTCTATAAAATACCTTTTAAATAACTTCACACATTGAAAAATAAGACAAAACAATGATCTATAACGATATCTAAAAAATGTAAAAATTGTAAAACAATAATATTTGTCATTATTTTTAGCTTCATAAAACATAATAATGTCTCACCTATATTCATCACGAGCAAACACATACCGGCGTTGGTAGAAAACATCTGAAACGAACAATTGTTTTATAAAATACCAAACACATAAGAGGGGACATTAAATAAGAAAAAAGAAACTGTACAAATGTTTTGTTTTTATTTCTGACTGAAGTGGTTCCGATTTTCGATATCATGTGGATGATATGAAATTGTTGAATGGAACTTATCTTAATGTCAGTCTTACTTAAAAATGACATAAATTTTCTTCTTTTTTTCAAAATATTTATTTAAAAGAAAACATCAGCTGTACTTGTCAAGCAGTTGAACATTTATGTATTATTTAAATCCGATACAAAAGATTTTCTATCGAACCACTTCAACAGAAGCAAACAAAACCATAAACATCAATAATAATTAAACAAACGAAACTATAACAAGAAGATTACAGGTGCCAAATAATTATGTATAGGGCTATGCATGTTTCGTTTCACAACCAAGTCAATGCCCGTGTAGAAATGTTTTTAAATATATTACTGATAATATTGCTGCGAATCATATAACTGTATCAAGAGACTATTAGTAAGAGCACATAAACTGACTTTAGTTTTGCGAAAGAGTAATTCTATAATAATAATAAATACACATTAATATTTCCATGTTGCTATTAACCAGCATATTAAATAGCTTAGAACACCAACTTTATAAAACTATATTAAGCTGAGAAAGGAAATCACAAAAATACCTGTCCTTTCTTTTATATTATCATACCTGTCCACAGAAAATTACAGCATTTGATAATAAGCAAAAACTGGTTGAAACTAAATATAATGTGTCACCAGAAGATAAGTCCTGCTGCTACACATTTATGTCACACAAAATCAGCTTTCTGATTAACGGGAATAACAGGAAAGATTTAATTTAGTTGGACATCACAGCCAATTGTGAAATTTGTTGAAAATAAGCTGTCGGATGAAGGTAATGATTTAAATGAAATTAATTTGAAAATAAAGGCAGGGATACTGAACTATATGTCTTCCTAAGAAGCCAAACCTTGCATAGATGAAAAGGCGAAAAGATGCAAATTGCGATTCAGAATTTCAGTTTGAATCTTTGGAGTCGAGTCAAATTTTTTGTTGATACGGATAATAAGACTCTTTAGTAATTAAAATGCTCCATAATATCCAACATTTAATATTAAATGTTTAAAAAACACCGTTAAGCTATTAATTATAGACATGCCAGGAAAAAAGCTAGATTTGAAACAAATAAGCGCAGTATTATAAAAATGAATACATAGATATAAAGAATTTGAAGACCAAATTTAATTTCAACAAAATATACTGTTAATACACAATGCAATTTTAGGTAATCATCCAATCATGATCGGTAAATTTGACACCTTTTTTAGCTTTAATTCACATAATAAACATTCGGTTTACTTCATGAGTGTAACTTGAATTGTTGTGTCTGTCAATATATTATGAAGATTTCGTTTTATGTAAATGATAAACGCACACTCGCACTCGGTTGACATATGTTTTTATTTGTAACTTATCTAGAATCAGTTTGATACAATTTAACAGTAATGATATGAAAACTAGGTGTTCTATGAAATGCGTACATAGGACAAAAACAGTGAGCTTAAACAAGTGGTATTTCGGACAAAGAAGTTAAATTTGTTGAAAAATTATCAGAGGAAAATTGATTGTATAAGGGCTTGGGTCGTTGCTCTAAATATTGATTCTGTCGGTGGCTCTAGTTCAAACAAAACACATGCTTTCAGCTCAGACTACTGATTTATTCCCAAAAACTTATATTATAAGACATGCCTGACATATTAAACTGATAATTTTATAACGGGTTGACGGACCAAACTTTTTCGCAAAAATTATGTTGTATTTACGGCACAACGTCCCCAGTATTATATTAATTAGCTGATGATACTTATTTAATTGTCTGACCTTCCTAGACGACGTCTCAGCTGCAACTCAACTCCTCAAATCTGTCTGCGTCTCTGCTTTTATATTAATACAAGAACCACGTGATCTCTGATAACCAATGAAATCAATCTACATACCTTACTGTATTCTGATTGGCTGCCTATGAATTATTCTTGCTCCAAGAGCGTCTAAAAGTTTAATGATTAACTTGCTTGACAAGTGTCTAAATATATATTACTTATAAAGAATAATCATATTTATATTAGCTTCCTTAAATAACTAATTCTAAAGTCTTTAAGAGATCTATAAACATAAACAAATCACAAGCGAATACTATTTACCTACGTTTCATATACGTTTGTTTTTAACCATGCAAATAGGTTTCTAAAACAAAGGGGAATAACTCTGTTAATTAATATAGGTATTAGGCTATTTTCGTCACAGTAGCATTAAATGACAGCAATAGTGGTTGAGTTTACTGAGTCACAAATGTGAAAACAAGTTTGAACGGTTATGATATGTTTTATGTTTTGATCGATCGACCAAATTGCATAGATAAGATTATATTTTTGACAGACTTAAAAATCGCATTTTAGATGTTGTCAAAAAGGAATGGTTTGCTAACTTAGAGTAAAGTTCCTTAAAGATGTCAAGAGTACATTTGAATATAAGGAATATCTAGTTATTTTACCAAAAATGATTTAGATTCTATTTTTGTAAATTAAGAATGAGGGACCTGGCTCATAGAATTCAAACAGGGAGATTTTAAACAAAAACCTTATTCCTCGAAATGAACGACATTGTTTATGTCGTAATAATTTAGATATAGAAGATGAATATTATGTTAAGTGTATATGTAGCTTTTATTTAGAATTAAGAAGAAAACGCATTAAGGACATTTACAAACAAAAGACATCAGGTCTATAAATTAATAAAATCTTTAAATTCTTTTGATAAAAATTGAGCTCATACAATTATCATTGCTCATCAAAAACGCTCTTGCTTTAAGAAATTTAAATTGAACTGTAGAAAATTACTACGAGACCTGTTCTATCTTCTTATAAATAATAAATTGATTTATACGTATCAAATTCTAACATAAATGTAAAACATTAGTTCATTCTTATGGTATTTCACGTTGACATACATTTATTTATATGTATATACTATATGATGTATATGTGCAATTCTGAATAAATTAGCTCTTCTGTTCTTCCGGTTTTGAGATCTCACCTACATAACGGGTAGCAACTCTTACATCTGTGTGATACCAGACTTTGTATTTTTATACTTAAACAATTAACGATAATTTTACTCGGAAATTAGGAAAAATAAACTTATTTAAGGTTGTTCTACTTGATCATATGTTAAAATTGATACATGACTATGAAGGCGCCTGACCTATAAGAATGGGGAACTTCACATTTTTTTACCGACAACCTAACTTTACCGCTTCATTTTGGTAGGTCATTACCTTGTTTGTACTTGTAACTTCTCACCTAAATGAAAAATCGATATGAACAGTAATACAGTCTAAAAATTGGTCAATGTCTATGATACTTATATCAATATGTAACAATAACAATTAATAGTGACACCATAAGATTATCGTTAATTTATTTTTATTAATTTTTTAAATCTATTATTATAATTTTAATTTTATTTTTTAATTTTACTTTCTGTGAATATTTATTACTCCATCTGCTCTAAACTATAATCTGATTTTTTGGTCCTGATTTTTTTCTGAACTTTAAATTGTTCTTCTTACCAAGGAGGTTTTCATGGCCATTTTAGTTCAATAAATGCATAATATAGGGAACATCTTGCATATATGGTAAATCTGTTTAATTTTAGTTTAATTAGTTTAAAATTATTCACCGCTATATTTGTACTAGTATGCGACTTAAGAGATAGATGGTAATAAAACTGCAATATCCTTGAAAGTGAAAAATACATTATTTTGCCCTTTCTATTTTTAGAAAACAAATAGATAATTCCTTGAATAGGAACACAACAGAACATAAAAATAATGGTCGTCATGTTACTTCACCGTAGGTAACGTGTTACAGTATCGCGCTTTCTGGTAACAGTATAGAATTTTCAAGATGGAGGATTATTTGTGGGGAAGACGGGTAGGTGATTTTATTCCGGTCCATTCCGAAGTTCAGTTTCTAAAGGATGTGCTTGTGCTTTGCTTGTAAGAAACTGGATCCGGTATCTAGTCATGTATTCCTCAGACCCTACAATGCAGATTTATCTCTATATTGTCTCATAAATATGCAGATTTGACAGTTTGAAAATTTGAATCGAGAGACCAACGCATTTATCTCCAATTCCGACATTATTTAAGCATGCCTACAAAAATTAAACCAACGTTAGTCCTTTGTGTTTAGAAACGTTTATAAAAGTAAATGACCAGTTAAACCTATTTTCTTGTTCGTTAAATGCGTTTGAAAAAATAAACAATGTTGCAGTATAGAGCGAGGTAAGTTTTGCAGGGTTACAGTATAGACCGAGCGACTTTGATCCGATTTTGTTACAGTGTATACCCATATTTCGGTTACAGTTTAGATACTTGCCAAATTTCAAATAAAATGTGTGAATCAATTATTTTTTTTATAAAATAGCCAATACTTTTCTATTTAATATGTTCTTGAAAGCTGTTTTATTGCCATTTTTTTCTTCAGCAGAAAAGTTACAGTTTAAAATACACATTATAATGCGTATTAGTTATAAAATAGAGAAAAGGAAAGTACAACACGGCAAAAAGACTCGATTTGTTTGAGCCTGTTCATAACTGCAAGCTACCGTCCACGCCTCCTAGCACCAGCTTAAGCAGAATTTAACATGAACTGGTAAACTTAAATAAGAATTATTTTAACATCTGTATATGTGTTCATATGGCGGCTACCATGGAACCTTCATTGTGACACATTAGTGCCATTTCATGAAAAGCGGCATATTGTCCCAAAGATTAAAAAGTTGCGTGTGCCCTAAACGAGAACACAATGGGTGAAACTAAATAAAATAGAATTTTTGAAAGAGAATCGGAGGTTATGAAGTCTGCATACCACAGAAAAACTGTCAAAAGTCACGATTAAAAAGCAGGAAACATACCCTAAGGGTGAT